ACAGCAAGTGATATTACACGAGATGATGAATTGGATTTATCCGTCAAAGATCTTGGAACAAAATCATTCAAACTTCCTAGTTTAGATGAAGTAATCAATGTACAACGAGTTGTTTTATTTAAATAAATATCTAATTTTTATAGACTGTTAGTTCTCATAATCATCAAAAAGTTCAAGTAAAATTTTAATATTTTTTATAGTTAATCTATTATAGACTATTGTATAGATTCGAGATGCCTGGCCAAATTGGACAAGTATACATGATGATCATCATCGATATAAGAAAAAACGAAATAAGAAAAAGTCAGTATATCCGAACATCAAATATTATTTCTTTAAAAATAACTAATTACTTATCATTTATTGCAGATGTTCATATCCATGTATAATCAAATCGATAATTATTGGTCTTCTTTTACTAATCATATCTGCTATACTATTAGTAGTTCTTTTGACCAGATCAAAAAATCAAACAATAACAATAAGTAAGATTTATCATTCATATGATATAAAAAGAAAGTATTAGTTACCATTGCTACTATGGTTATTGAGTTAGAAATTATTGTCAGTATTATTATTTAATATTAAAATGTCACTGAAGAACACAATATGGTTGTTTCTTTAATTAATTCCAGTCTCTTCGATATAATAGATGACATAGAATTCTTCTAGTTTTTTTAGGCTTCTCTATAATTTAAGATCTTGATTTATTTTACCACTTAACTAAAAATAAGCTTTAATATATCATACTATTTTATTTTAATAGATAGAACAGCTGTATTGCGTTGGAATACTACAGGTGAAACTATAGCAGGCGTCGTAGGACAATTTGGAAATGCCTCGAATCAATTAAATGTACCTTTTGGTTTAACAATGGATTGGTCTAATACATTGTATATTGCTGACTGGTCTAATCATCGTGTTCAGAAGTATTTGAGAAATTCATCTTTTGGTCAAACAGTAGCAGGTCAAGCAACAGGATCATATAATACGACTTCAAGTTTTTTATATTATCCAGGTGATGTAGCTGTTGATTGGAATAGTAATGTTTATGTAGCCGATACATTTAATAACAGAATTCAATTATGGACTAACGGATCATCGTCAGGAATGACAGTAGCCGGCACAGGTTCAATAGGCAATGGAAGTAATGAACTTGCAAGACCGTATGCACTTACACGTGATCCAAATACCGGTACACTTTATATTTCAGACACTTTTAATAATCGTGTAATGTGTTATCTATCTGGTGCATTATCTGGAAGTATAGTAGCTGGTGGTCTTGGAAGTGGAACAAATAATACTCAATTGTCTAGTCCATTTGGTATATATTTTGATTCTTTGTCGAATAGTCTTATAATTGCCAATGGAAATGCTAATAATATTGTTCGTTGGACTCTTGGTGCTTCTAGCTGGACACTTCTAGCTGGTAACGCGAATGGAATGAGTGGTAATACATCAACAGAATTTAATATACCTATGGATGTAACATTAGATCCCATGGGTAATATGTATGTCGTTGAACGATTAAACCATAGAATTCAATTTTTTCCGATGGGTGAAACAATTGGAACAACGATTGCTGGTCTAACAGGTATAAGTGGTAGTAATTCGATGTTACTCAATCAACCTATGTCAGTGACACTCGATAGTCAACTCAATTTATATGTTGCCGATACTTTTAACAGTCGAATACAAAAATTTGTACGTTATTAAAAAAGGAATATTTCTTTAAATATGCTACTTGACCTTTATGTGTTTATTATTTCCTATGCTATCTCGTACAAGTTCCTTCCTTTCATATTTTCTTATACTATCATCAATGAAATCTACAATTTCAATTATTTTCTATTCAACGAAATAGAGAAACATACATATAATACTTTTACATTCAACATAAAAGAATATTTCTGTGATCATCCTTCAATATCTTAGCTTCGAAAAAAGTCTTTTTATTGTATCATAAATATTTATTTGTCTTTAGATATCTTTTAGTAATTGACCACCTTTTCTTAGTTCTTCAGCAGTACTTTTTTCTGGTTCAGATAACCAAAATAAGTTGTTTTCCAGTAAACCAGCTAATACAAAAGCATGACCCATCTTTGGTTTTTCTTTATCAATCACTTCTTCTAAACTATAACCTTGTCCTAAATGATCCCATCCATCAAAATCTAATAATGCCATAGGTCGTTTTTGTTTATCATTCATATCTCCACAACAATATTTTATATAAATATCATTTAGTTTCTTATATGCATCAGTTTGTTCAACATATTTTGCATATAATGGTGCATAGATAGTTTTTCGTGCTTCGATATAACCTAATCTTTTCCCATTCCATAAAGAATAAAGAGGTTTGCCGGCTTTACGTCCAAGTGGAAAACGATGTGGTTTAGAATCATTCCAGCCCTCTTCTGCCCACTTCCAATAGGCTTCTGATGGTGATTCACCATCCTCATCAGTAAATTGTTGATAAACTTTACAAAATTGCCATGCATTTTCCATATTTTTTGCCACATACATTTTTCCATCTTGAGCATTTGGATATAACTCAATAGGTCCTAATAAAAATGGACTAAATTCTAAACACCATTTTTCTTTTGTTGTCGATGTAACATTATGGAGAAGCCAATTTTCTTTTGTTAAACATTGTGGTTTAGGACGTCGCATAGCAAATATTCTTATGTGATTTAATGATGATAAAAGTGATGATAAATGACGATTCTCTTGTGAATGAACATCATCACTAAGATTAGTCTGTTTTGGTTGTTTTACTTGTTTATCTGAAAATGGATTTTTACGTTTTTTTTGTGTTGTTGACGCCATACTTTCTTTTCGTCAAATGATCGTCAGCGAGTTTTGTATTAGTTGACTGTGTGATATTGTAATTACATCATATTATTTGACAGAAAGGCAAGAGTAAAGAGGAAGAGAACGAAAAAGAAAAAAAATACAACGTGACTACGTATATAGTAAATAAACGACAATAATAACAAAAACTAGAATTTTTTTTATTGAATTGCTTGTTTATTAGAAGAATAGAAAAATGTATTTTATTAGGTTTAATCGTTTTTTTAACTTTAATTGAGTTATATTTTTTTAACAAGGAGGATATTTTATCTGTAAATAACTAATTAAAGCTTTAGTTTGTGTTTCTTCAGTCTGTTGTGTAATATTTACAGTTGGATTATTTAATTTAGTATTCTCTTTCATATAGACTGTTGTTGCAACTTTATAAGTGAGACCACTTGTAGCAACATTTACTCCATTGACTAACCATGTAGATCCTTGATCTGTTGTTTCTACACCAATGTAACCAACATATAAACCAGTACCTTTGACTGACATACCATCAGAGAGTACTTGAGCTAGTACATCACCTGGAACAGAAAGAGCAACGATCTTATTTGGAAATGGTAATGTACGTAGTATATCATATTGTGTAATGGTACCTTGAAGTATATCATCGATACGTATGGTACCACCATTAAGAAGTGCAATTGTTGTTCCATATGTTGCTGTTACCTGAAGTAAACCCTCACAAATTGCTTCAGTTAAAAGTGTAACAGAAGTTGTCACCGATTGATATTTACCATCTAATTCGATGCCATCTGGTAAACATGAAACAATTTCTAATGGTTGAAAACCTAATGCTTCGAATCCTTTGATACCTAAGTTAAACCAATAGTTTGCAACCGCTGCTGTGTTCTCTTCTTCAGGTACTTCTGAAGATACTTCAACTAATGTACTATATATACGTAATCGTTTTCTATCAATATTATATGCACAACGATGGACATAAACAGTAAAAGCATTACTATCAGCTTTATATATTGGTATCAATTTATTTCCTCTTCTAATATAAGTATTTTCATGCTCATGTCCACCAAGAATAAAATCGATTTCTGAAATCTCTGATACAAGATCAATATCTGTCGATACATCCAAATGAGTAAGAGCAACAAGGACATCATATGATCCATTTGGAAATGATTTCAAAAATTCTTTTGTATAATTAACTAACGATGATTGATTGATAAAACGAATATAATCACCAGTTCCATCAATTGTATATGCAATGATGAGAATTCGCACATTATCAATCGTAATTATTTTATGTGTAATACTTGATCCAAATGATTGATTAGAACTCTTATCAACTACATTTAAACTTATCCATGTAAATTTTGATTCATTCATTCGAGAAAGTAAATCAGTTTTAGTAAGATCAAATTCATGATTACCAAATGTCATATAATCAAGACCAAGAATATTCATTGTTGCAATCATTTGTTTACCATTTAGTGTTGTACCATTTACTACAGCTGTGCCTAATGCAGACGGTGAAACGAGATCACCAGCAAGAAAAGTGATTGTATTTTTATTTTCATTTAATAATAATTGTCTAATATATGCAACACGAGCTAAACCACCTTTTTGTCCTTGATCAAGTGGTAATAATTCGTAGACATCATTCATATGTAAGAATGTCCATTGAACATATCGACCATCATTAGGTAGAAGAGGTGGAAACCCAATGATACCATTAGCAACTGCATATTGATTAACAGAAGTATTGGTAGAATTAGAAGAAGGTGTGTTTGAATGTGGATAAGATTTTAGCCATAAGGAGCCAAAGATAATAGTTAATATAACGAAACCAAATAATATCGCAGTGAGAACAGTGTAAATAAAACCATGTGGAAAAAGAATGTGACTCCAACGATGATAATCAAAGAATCCCATTGATGAAATACTAAAATACAAATGTATTATTTTTATTTTCAGATGATACAAAAAATTTTAGTATTGTGTGTATAATCACAAATGATATTATGAAAATGAATGATACAAACGATTGTTGTAATAGCACATTATACATGAAAAAAGATTTTTATTTCTTAATCGTGAACTAACACATGTATTACACGGTTATTGTTCATATTCATTTGTCGTCTATAACCAGCTGTATTTTGAGTATTATCGATATTTTTTATTTTTATCTGTTCTTTGTCTCGAGTACAATTGCTTATAGTTGGTAAGATTTATGAAAGAACGATACAAGATTTCTATTGTTAAATATGAACGGATATAACCATTATTATACCCAAAAGAGAATGATTTATTTTATATAAACTATCCAGATGCAGTGTAGTTCAACAAAAGGAGAGAAATCAATATACATAAAAAATGCACAAATGAACGGTATATCATAATCTAAGGAGTATTAAATGATTCACATAGTATATCTTTATAAATTGACTCTTTAGTGTTATACATTGTTATTTATGATTTATTAAGACTATTGATGATCTTATTCATACCAGTTGAAAATATAAAGATGTCTCTATCATGAATAAAATAATCGACCCATTTCCATGGACTATACTAAAGGAAACTGAATTACTTTCGAATATGGTATTGTGACGTTTCGACAAATCAACAGACTTGAAAGCCGAACATAGATTATGTATCTGATAACAAAAATAAAAGAAGTACTTTACAGTGAAAATTTTATAAGAAAAAAAAAGCATTCAGAGAATATTTCTATAGTTTCAATGAGTTATCATGTATTATCTTTTACTTAATTTTTTAGCAATCCTATCTTATTTTTGTCACTTTTAACATGGAGGATATTTAATTTCAAATATTTAATTAGAACTTTTGTTTGGGTTATATTAAATTGTTGTATGATGGTAGCACTATTTAATTTCTAATAAGAATAACTTTTACCACTTGGATTTATCTAAAAAATTAAAGTAAAATACTCTACTATGAAGATCCGAAATAAATCGAGATTAAAGAGAAAAACAAGATTTTTTATCTATTTAGAAACGTGGATATTCTCCATAACGATCTATATTTATTCATAATTCTGAACCAAAAACTTTCGAAAAAATTTAATAAATAGTACTTCATCTTTTTAAAATTTTATTTTACTGTCCGGATAAAGTTGACTTGGCCATCTGTACTGAGCAAAGTCAAGATAAAGTGTTATACCTTGATGTAAATGTAGATTAGATTTTACTTCATCCTCATACACACCCTTAACGATATTTTTATAGAATTGAAAAAAATACTTGTATAAATGAATGAATCTATATTGCTCATTTTGTATAAACTTTACCCGGAATTGAAAATAGATTATTGCTCATTCAGTAGAATCATTATTAAATTTTATTACTACTCATTTAAATTATTTTATTGCTTCATTAAATAAAACTCATTCTTTTGTGTTTGGAGCAGATATTCTGAATTACTTTGATCTTATAACGATGTTTGAAAAAAATGAACCTAAAAATAGCTGGATAATTTGAATCCTTGAACGGTGAGCACGAGAATAATGAAGATATAAAAAGTTCAGGACGAGAACAGTTAACACTGAAAATTTAAGGACATAAAAAAATCAAAGGTAAATACGACGTCTATCATACTTATGTAAAATAAGAGAAATAAAAGCTGATTTTTATCTAGTTTACCCGTATTTTTTCTTAAATAAATAAGTATTAATTGATACTCATGCTTAATGAATGAACAGCGTGTCAAACATTGAGACAACACGATACTTGTTATTTGCCGAGCTAAGAAGTTCAAAAAAGTTAAGAAAATGTCGATTTTCTTACTTAAAACTCGAGAGAAACGCGTTGTGCGATTATCGTAATATGAGTTTATTAAAAATCAAATAATCTGATTACAATCGTGCTATTTTTACCCGATTTTAAATAAAAAGCAACTGATTAACATTAGATATTGTTTCGTTTTCTATACGTAGGTAAGATTAAATAATGTAAACTTTGATGAAATCGCAGTTAGAAAGTAATTAGGAAAGGCATAGTTAATTTAACCTTCTTGTAATTATTAATCTTAATCAAGAGTAACACTATAATTAGTCGTGATTGCGGATGTATAGCAGAATATATTTCTCCTTGACATTTTTAATTATATAACTCGGTAATAATATCAACTTACCGCACAACAAAACAGAAACTACGTCTCAACTACAATAGTTATTCATTAGTTTTTCAGTACTCCATATTCACCTTGGTTTCTTTTGCGTGCTGAGCTTCCCATTTATTCATCGTTTCTGTGCACAACGTTCCGGTTATAGATAAATTTTAGACTAAAGAAAAACAGTCAACTATAGATAGATACATAAGAGTTCACATTTTTTAAATTATTTCTCTTCATTTTCAACACAGATCTCTTATGGTATCATGTTCCAACTATATTATGTATCGAAAGCATCGATCTGATAGTTATTATAATAACTGAAGAGTCAATTTCTTACTTTAATACTTTTATATTAATCTTTTTTTATGATTTGTATACTATTAGATTAATAAAATAAATCTATTTGAAAAAATGATTAATTATGGAAATGGATTGGTTGGTTTTATTCTTACTTTTATTTCACTTATTAATGCTTCATTTGCAGTTATTATTTCTTTTATTGTAATTCTTACAGTTATTTATCATCAATATCATAATCGTTTCAAAAAAGAAGAAAAAATCACTCTCATACTTTCTACTAATATTTATATATTTGTTCTAATATTTATGATAGTACTAATTGAAGTAAATATTGAAACATTAATAGGTGATGTTTATGGAAATAACTTTGATTCATCGTTATGCGTATTCAGAGGATATTTCATTGCTTCGATAGGTTGTGCTGTGTATCATGCTTTTATGACACAGGTAAATATAAAAATTAGAGTAATGAGAAGTTCTACTAGAATCGTTTGAGGAGACATAATAATAAACTAGAGAAGTTTAAAGTTGATTATTTAATTTAGTAGATGTATGATTTAGTCGAAATAGTTTAGTAATAAAGTATTTACTTATAGATTTGTATTTAAGTCATGCATCTATTATAAAAGATTAGGAAAAAGTGATATCAGAATCATTTTTAAAATTTATATATTTATATCTACATCTATAGATAAATATCTAGACAATAAGTTATTTCTGATATTTTAAATAAATCAAGAAATCAATATATGTATTCTGAATTAATTAGTTACAAAATTTGATGTAAAGAAATGTTAGAACAAGTCTGAGATGATGAAAATCGAAAACACCGTATAATTATTATTAGTAATATAGATGAAGTTTAATAAACGAATTTAAACCTACATAGCATATACTACTCAGCTTATTGAATGTATTAGGCAAAATTAAATTAACATTCACTGAGATTCTGTTGCGATAATTTATATAAAAATTTCTACTTCAATCATATATATATATATATAAACATTGCTTTCATCTTTATCTTCAGGGTTTCTTTCATCTTTGTCGCGTCGTCTATGCAAACTATAGATGGCTTCAACTTTATTGGTTCTATATTGTAATCGGTCCTATTCAGTTAGTGATAGGATTTATTCTTATGATGCCTCTTCTCATCTGGAATTATATTATCTATTCTCCTAACAATCATTATTGTTTCATTTCGTATACAAATTTTCACTCAATTCTGTGGATCTCATGTATTATGTATAGTATTCCTCTCATTTGCTTATTGATCATATATATTCGTATTGTCAGATTTATTCGTCAACATGCAAATAATCAAACAGACATAGTGAAGCAAAGACAACATCGACATTTATTGGCTATTCGACGTATGTTCATTAGTATTAGCATATTACTTGCATTAGGTCTACCTGCTGTAGTCTTAGTTATCATGTTTTTTATCACTAATGTAGAGTCTCCATTAGTTCATCGAATCGTATGGATGGGAGCTGAAGTAGGTGGCGCAGTACTAAGTGTGCAAATGGTACTTATGACACCTCAATTAAAGACTATTTTTATAAGCCGAAGGCAACAAAATAGAGTGGTACCTGCTGCACGCCCCCTTCAAATTAGAGTTCCTGCAACTGTTGAATAATTGCATTTTCACGTTATTCTCGAAAGTTAAACTCTTATTTATTTCAAATTCACTTATAAATTTGTTGAAATAATTTAACCTTCTCATAACAATAAATTGAACATTTATAAATATCAATATTGAAACTTTACCTTATCTATTTATTCTATTTATTAAGTCAAATTTTCGACAGTTGAACATTATTTTAACTTTCTTGATTTTAGAATGATTTTAGATTATATTTATTGTTCTCCATAATAGATAGTTATCATTAAAAATTTGAAAAAATTACAACTTATATATTTATTCCAATGATTCTTATATAATGTTGCGTTGTAGCATACTTTTGATCAACTGCATAAAATTATAATTGTCGGAAATGTTCGTTATTATCTTTTATATATAAATTAGACAATAAATTATATTTAGTTCTTTCATGTATGTATTTTTACTTTAAACTCTTCTGTTTGTTTTGCATCGGAATTGTAAAGAACTCTTATTATGATTAATATCTTAAAAGAAGTGAATATTACATATTCTTAAACGATATTTTTGTTGATTCTAATGTTTCAGATTTGTATTCATATAAGTCAGAACAACAATATGATATTAATTAATAAGTACAGTCAAGATAAAAAATATTTATATTAGTTTCATCATGATTTATGCATTCACAATAATACGATTTATCAGTAGATGACAAGAAGAAATTGAGTATCTTCATTTTTTTGCTAAAGAAATAACTTGTTGTTTTTTGTCCAGGATGATGTGGCAATCAGAAGTTTTACACATGAACTAGCTTCTATCTTTATCGCATTAAAATATACTGAACGACTTCATAAAGAAGAAATAACATCATTCAGACATTTAAATTCAACTGTGTAAATGCATAATAGATCTATTTTCATCTAAAACGTTTTTACCAACAATCCTCTTTTATAAAATACACCAAAAATTAGTTTTCGTCTATAAAGTTGCTTAGTTTATAAGCTACACTTGTCTAATATAACGCTAAGAATGTCAATGTGATTAGATATTCGTAACAAATTAATCTTTGTAATTGAAGTTAAGAATATTCTTTTAGCGTAGTATCTATTGCCTTAATCGAACTTATAAGTAAAAAAATAAAAAAAAGAGTTGCTGGAAAAGAAAGAGTAATAACTAATTATATTATTAATTAACATTTTGCATGAATAAATTATCTACATTATCTCTTCATTATCAATAGTAAAATCTTCTTTAATTATATTCTATCTATATTTCTTGTAAGATCATCTCGTTTAAATGTTCATGAATTTTTCTTAGTAACTAACAAATATACTTATAAATCGTCATTAACTTTTAGTGTATTGTAATATATACATTTTTCAGTATGTCATGTACTTATTTATTAAAAAAATAATTTTATGAATGTGTACCGTTATAAGTTTTTAAGGACAATCAAAATTGTCAAACATTTATTTTTACTTGTAAAAGCTCTTCGCTTTTTTTAACATTGTTCGTTGTGGATTTCTCAAGTGTAATGAGCTGAATTAGATGTCTCTATCAGTTTATTTTAGTTTGTCGATTTTTATTTTTTTTTTATTTAATGACGTATATTGACATTAAAAGATGAACTTTTTTACTAAACTAAACTGCAAGTACTTTTCTTTTTGTATTATTCCAGATTGAGCAAAAATATTGTCGTTTGAATCTTATGAAGAATATGAACTAGATTTTTTATGAAGATAACTCTTATATTAAGATTGTACTAGTTTTACAATTATGTATAATGTAAATTTTGTTTTAATAACTTTTAAAAAAGAAAGTAGAAAACATATAAACATTAGGATTGCGCTCTATCATTAACATATCTCTGGTTTAATATTATTGAATTCATAGTTTTATTTTGTCATTGAGTGTGAATTAAGAGAATAGAAATATTCTTTCAAGTTAGTATTTATTTGAGGAATAAAAATACTGAAGATGTATGTAATAAATTTGAAAGAGAATCATCTGATTCAATATGCGATATCTAACTACAATTATCAACAAATTATATTTTATATTTCTTTTCATTTATTTATATCTTTTCTTTTGTTTCTCATAGATTATTGACATACTGTTAGATTAATAAAACAAATTTATTCGCAAAAATGATTAATCATGGAAATGGATTAGTTGGTTATATTCTCACTCTTATTTCACTTATTAGTGCTTCATTTGCATTAATCATTTCTTTTATTGTAATTCTTACAGTTATTTATCATCAATATCATAGTCGCTTGAAAAAAGAAGAAAAAATCACTCTCATACTTTCTACTAATATTTATATATTTTTTTTAATATTTATGATAGTACTAATTGAAGTAAATATTGAAACATTAATAGGTGATGTTTATGGAAATGATTTTGATTCATTATTATGTGTGTTCAAAGGATATTTTATGGCTTCAATATGTTGTACTATATATCATGCTTTTGTGACACAGGTAAATATTGAAAGTAGAGTGATGTTAAGTTCTATTAGAGTCATTCCAGGAGACATAATAATAAACCAGAGAAGTTTGAAGTTGATTGGTTAGTTTAGAAGATGTGTGATTTAGCTGAAATAGTTTAGCAATCAAGTATTTTACTTAGATTTGTATGTGAATGATGCATCTGTTGTAAAAGAACAAGGAAAAGGATTTGTAAACCAATTTGAATATTTTCGATAAGAAAGTAGCTTGTTTTTAATAAAATTTTAATGAATCATGTAGAGATTTGAGAAATTATAGATTTTAGCGCCAGCGTACTCTAGAGAACTGTCTACTCTGGTAAAAACTATTGCTCACATTTCTAGTTTTGCACTTTGTCTGTGCAGTATATATATAGTTACGAGTTTTCATTTTTATAATACATATAACCACTCCAAACTATGTTCACTAGTTGAGTAAACATTATTATTCTCTACGAAGATAAACAAAGTCTTACCCCCAATACTTTTACGTTGTTTTCAACCTCGAATGTAAGGATCTCATGCTCAAGAATGTATTCATTTTACTAATATCATGATATGAGTATGAAAACCAGTTTCTTATTTGGTTATTGTTATCAATTTAAAAGTATAGCCATGTGTTTGAGGTCTTGAATAGAACCACATGAAGGTTGATAATACCTGTTTGAATACTTTTGATTTCCTCTTTATTTCTAGGCTTTCTTTCGTCTTTGTCTTATTGTATATTCAAACCATAGATGGCTCCAACAGTATTGGTTCTATATTATCATCGGGCCTATTCAAGTAGTAATAGCCTTTACTCTTCTGTCTCCTCTTGTCATTTGGCATGATATACACTATTTGCCCAAGGAGCATTATTGTTATATTCCATTCACGAACCTTCGTGATACACTTTGGCTTGTATTCGGTGTCTATAGTATTCCTGTTTCAAGCTTGTCGATCATTTATCTGCGTATTACAATATTTATTCGTCAACAGACAACTAATCAAAGATTAGTAGTGAGACGACGAGTAGATCGAGATATATCAGCCATTCGACGTATAATTTTAAATATTAGTATATTACTTAGCCTTGGACTTCCAACTGTAGCTCTTCTTTTGATGTTAGTTATCACGGGTGTCGAACATCCATTAATCTATCGTACCATGTGGATTGCTGTTGAAGTCGGTGGCGCGATACTAAGTGTCCAAATGGTACTTATGACACCTCAATTAAAGACTATTTTTATAAATCGATGGCTACGAAATAGAGTGGTACCTGCTGCACGCCCCCTTCAAATGAGGGTTACTACAACTGTTGAATAATTGCACTACTATGTATGATTCAAAAATTAAACTCTTATTTATTTCAAATTCACTTGAAAATCTGATGAAATAATTTAACCTTTTCATAATAACAAATTGAACATTTATAAATATCAATATTGAAACTTTACCTTATCTATTTATTCTATTTATTAAGTCAAATTTTCGACAATTGAACATTAATTTAACTTTTTTTTATTTTAGAATGATATTGGATTATATTTTTTTGTTCTCTATAATAGATTGTTAACACTAAAAATTAAAGAATAAAAATATATATATTTATTTCAATGATTCTTATATAATGTTGCGTTGTAGCTTACTTTTGATTAACGACGTAAAATTATAATTGTCGGAAATGTTCTTTATTATCTTTTATATATAAATTAGACAATAAATTATATTTAATTTTCTCATGTATGTATTTCTACTCTAAGTTCCTCTGTTTAAATTATATAAACTTTGAAAAGTAAAAAAAAATGCTATTATTTTACCATGATGCACCGATAAATGATATAATGATTTATCCTTGTTTTTGATCTATGAAAAGATAAAAATCATATTCGTCACGCTCGCATTTACACTCTCCTTCGATCTTATTCAAACGATTTCTTTCATCCCTTGCATATAATAGTGCGTTCAATATAATACGAGTACATTTAAAGTAATGAAATACTTACATTAGTTTTTACAAACTTTAACATTATACTCAAATATTTATTTTTGTAACATTCTAATCTAGCTTTTCTAATTATATGTCTCAAATTCTTTTTTCCAACGACAAAAATCACATTTCATTCGACACCAAGGTAACACAGGTGTCCTTTTTTTTCATTCTTTTCTATAATATTTATAATACAAAAGATAAAAAAAGCAGCATGGGAGCGAAATGCACTTTTTTTCTCTCTCGATAATAAAATGATATTATTCTCAACATTTACCTCCGTGAAAAACAAAAAGTATTTCATTAAACGTATTTATTTCAAATGGCAACCAATAATATTGTTCAAAATGACAACGATAATAATTATACATCTATTAAAGATGACCTTGATTTCGATGATCATGTTATTTTTACTGCGATTAATGAATGGGAAAGACATTCAATCGGAAAAATTCAATTAGCTGCTCAACAAGCTCGAAATGATCTTCATGGATTATTGGATAAAAAACGTCAAGATTTTGCTAATTTATTAATTCAAATGAATGAAAACATAACACCAGATATTAATATTACGAAATTAACAGAAGATGTATATAAACTTCGACAAGATTTATCGAAAATGTCATCATCGATTCATTTAGAACATGATAAAAAGAAATTTCCGATTTATCTTATTAAACTTAATTCAAAAAATAACGATCAAATTCAAGAAGATTTAGTAATCTTATTGATATTATTTTTAGTTTTTGAAAAATTCTTCTTTCATAGGTTGACGAAAATGTAAATGTACCTGGAACAACACCATTAACAGTATCTATGCTTTATAAAATATCACCAGTTGAACAAAAACAAATATTAGGTGAACGACTTTTTGTACTTGTTCAACAAATTGAACCAAAATTTGCAGCGAAAATTACTGGAATGTTTCTTGAATTAGATATAAAATATATTTTGATTTTAATCCAATCCCATCAAGTACTTAAAGATAAAGTTTGTATTGATAATTAAAATTTATTAGAACAATTATTTTCTTATTCTATTATAGATCAAAGAAGCACTTAATGTATTACAAGTTCATCAATATAGACAACGTAATGTTATTAAATCATGATATAGAAATTAGTCAATATAAAACCAAATTTTCAAACAAAAAACTTTGAATAGATTTTTTTTATAAAGATTGAATATTTGTTTAAAAATAATTTAATTTGATTACATCGTTGAAAAAATATGGAATAAATAAGGAGATTAAAACAATGGAAATGTATAGTTTTGATGACGGTTCAAACATGAAAGACAAATTAATAAGAAGACTATCGAATAGAATGCATATGATATTTTAATGAAGATACTTAGACATTTGAGAGAAGGAATTAAGGTACGTTCTTAGGCCCTTATATCGAATGATAAACATCCAGATTTCTAGCTATACCTATTAAAATGTTATAAGTATTTTGCTCATTGATCTTCTCTTAAAATTCTGGTAATAGATTTTTGAGAAAATATTCCCTGAGATTTGTAATATCTCATTAAATTGAAAGTATGCTGCGTATTATATATTCATCATACTATCAAATGAATTGTAACAGTAGAAAAAAAATAATTTTACGTTCTGCATAACAGTCAATCAACGAAAAAAAACATCACGTGCCTCTATTTCTCAAAAGTTGACGTTGAAAAACAAACCAAAGAATGTTGTTTGTATTTGATACTCCCTAATGAAAAGTAACTGTAAACATATATTGACCTTTTCATTCGTTCTCGAAAAAGATGTAGGTAAAAAGAATACATAAAAATAAGTTTATTTTCAAACAGCATAAACATTATGATTCGCAGATTGTTAGTTCTAACAATACTGAAACTAACTCAATGCATTTTATCGTACATATATTTGATAAATAGCCTTCACTTAATGAAGAATCGAAAGAAAATATATATCTTCTTTTTTCGTGAACCATTAGTTTTCTTTAATATCTTGTAATATCATTATGTGAACGATTACGATTTATAAATAGAATATTGTTTATCCTTTTGTATAACATATTGCTAGACTTTATTCACAAGATCGTAACTTCTGATCAATGTTCTACGTGCTGTATATAGAAATGATTTGAATGATCTGCAAGATAAATCTAACAAAAACAATACAAAATAAGAACTTTCGTCGTTCTCTTTGGACATATATAGATAAATATCAAAGAACTAACATTGAAAAAATGAAACAAGAAATGAATTCACAACTCGATAAATTTTTAAAAGAGCTAATTTAATTAAATGAAACTGAAGATTTTGTCAAATAAGATTTAGAATGTCTTAAGAAAAACAATATATTGGCTTAATCAAAATCTGGAGCAATTAACACAAAAGATAGTGCAATTAATGAGTATGTCATATCGAATAGTCTTAAAAGAAAAATATTGCCCGAAAATTATGGTTGCTCTTCAAGATCTTTTCTCTTCATATTCCGTGTTCGAATCAAAAAAGTGGATGTGGGTGTGAGAGTTCGGAGTGCTACTTTTTTTTTATTTTAAAAATAAAGTTAAAATAAAGAATAAAAAAAATATTTTCAAGTGATCGGTAAATAGATAAGTAATTGATATAAAAACAGATAATATTTATCACAGGTGTTTCCTATCACCAGCCACATTCTAATATAGAATAATGCTAGCAAATGAATGTGAGGTATAAAAGGTTTATGGAAAAAGCTTCTCCCTAGAATCTTTTCTAGCCTGTGTCCTTATAATATTTGCCGACCTACTTGGAAAATATAAAAATTTAGATTTTTAACAAAAAAATTTTGTTTATTCTTTATTTTAACTTTATCTTTATTTATAAAGTAAAGATAAAGTAACATTCCTAGTGAAGGTGAGTATGGCTGTTAGAGATGTATGCAGTATTGACATCTACACCGACTCTCAAAATCTACATGCTTTTTTTCTTCAAAAACGAAAAAGAAAGAGTTTTATAAAATGTTGTTTGATATTAGTCATATACAGTATGCAAAGCGAGATGGAGAAAAGTAAATGGCAGACATAAAGATAAATTTTATCTGTCATGTCGAAAAAAACAAGTTAGTTATAAGGCGAGTTAATAAATAAAAAATGGATGTCGATGCAACGAAAAAGTCTTTCTGCGAAAGAAAGATAAAAGTACGATGCTATGTAATCCATGAAGTTATTCAAATACACTCTTTTCAGAGGAGTAAATCTGACGAGAGAATAATATCAATGTATAGATAGACAAAAGCAAAAAGTGATTTAATTTCTCTTTTAGACTATTGTGATGCTGAGTCAAACAATAATGTAAGTATTTATGATATTTTTTCCAAAACCAAAGTTTAAAATCTTGGTTTCTATCGAATATTTGTGATATATGTTAAATTTACTAACTGTGTTAACATTAGATTTTAGATATAACACAATGAGGTATAATTTTGCTTTAATCTATTTCATGCACTTCACATTTTCAATTGCGTTATACATCCCTAATTATAATATACAACATTCTATTATTAATATAATGAAAATACAAGATGATTCATGGCTAAACGGTAAGATGTAATTATTAAGTACATTAATATCATCATAAACTTCATATCCTCTCTTAAGAATCAACAACTATTCAACCAACAGAAATATCAACAGAATTTTCTGAATCAAACATATCAACTGTCATCATCGATCCTACAACTTGGTTACCAACAGATTCAACAGGTACTTTATTTTATATTATAAAACATTATATTAAAAATTATTTTTTTTTTCATAACATCTTGAATAATAATAACACATAATAGGAAGAAAAAAATAAGAAACTTTGATAAAAAGCTTAATCTTTGTTATAAACGAAGTTTATTCTTAGAACAAAATCCTAAAATAAATAACATATAAATTATGGATTCATATTCATATAGAAATTCAAAATAATCCGAAGAGAAATCTACACGAAATTGCTCCATTTAAGATTAAGTTTGTATCAACAATTACATTTAAGATATCTTTACTAAAGAGAAAAGAAACTTGTCGAAATTTTGTTTAGTAAAGTTCATATTATATCTTTTCTATATAAAAATATAACTATAATTTTCACTTTATTTTAGTAAAACCTGCAACGAATCTTTGGTCAAATTTAAAACAACACTTGCCAGCGTTAATTGGAATAGTAGTTGGTATATGTCTTTGCGTTATTTTATCAGTTTGTATCTGTTGCTGTTGTCGTCGACGACGAATAAGAAAAAAAAAACATGGAGCATCATATCGTAAGTATTCCGTTTTAACAAAAGCTAATACATGTGTAACAATTTTACTTGCAAGATATTCCTTTATATCTATTAAGTATAAAGCTAACGTATAAGATAACTGTTTTATTTAATTTTGAATAGTTTTATCATTATAAAATTCGATAATAAATATTCATAATTTAACTTGGTAACTATGTTAGTTGATGACGATGAGTCGATTGAAAGTATATTAATTACAGTAACTCCTATTATATTATTTTTAAAGGTACTCATTCAGATTCTGAGTCAGTTTCTGAAGACGGAATAGAACTACCAACAATTTCTCCGAAAAAGAAAATAAAATCACCAACAATTCCTGCTAAAAAGGTGCGTATCTGCCCACAAATGGCATTAGCAAAAGAATTTGTTGAATCTCTTGACTGGGATAGTGTCCTGTTTGACTCCTCACATGATAAATGTTATTGTAACAATTGTTATCCTGCTACATGGGCAAATGTTACAGATGCTGGCGGTCAAAAATATGTTATTCCTCGTGGATGGGTCCGTATTGGTCTTTATGTTGATGCAGCTACCGTAGGTGTAAATGACATCTGGAATAAATGGATTGTAACGTTTCACGGAACTTCTTTATTAGCCGCAAAATCTATTCTTCATAATCGTCAGTTTTGTTTGCCCGGAGACAAACTCATTGATGGGACTCTATTGGGGATTCGTCCAGGGCATATACCGGATAAAAAGCATATTTATACTTCACCAACGATTGCATATTCAAGTTTGCCAGTGTACAGTGCGAAGTCTGATTTCAATTCCTCAAAGAATTACTGCGCTTATAAAGTTCAAGTCGTTCTTCAATGTCGACAAAAACCAAACACATATAGCGTACAAGGTGAAACTATTGATGCTCGTACGACTCGTCTTTGTCCTTTTATACCTAACAGTGAAGTTGAATATTTCACAGAAATAAGAGGCTCACTTGTTGCTTATGGATTACTTGTGAAATTAATATAATCATACTGCGCTTCCGTCATTGTTTTTTTGTATAACTTTTCGTTTTGATTCTACAAGATATCACAGTAATAAATTCTTGTGTCATCATAATACCTAAACAAACTCATATCAAAATAGTTTTCACTAAATCAGTTGCGGAACGATAAATTTGAACCCTATCTAATTCTAACTAAATCCATACTAACAAGAAAATAAATTGTTGATATTATGACTTTAACTATTTGGGGACCATGATTATTCTTTGATATTTTAGAACACATAGATTGCAATATGAGATTGGTTTTTGGTATAATTTGGATTGTAATTAGGTTATTTTATTGAGATATTCAGCGATGGATAATTAATATAACAAAACTGACTTTCAGAGAAAAAACTCTTCAATCTACAATGTTTGTCAGCAACATTGCTTTCTATATAGGGGCATGTTAGATGATGTTCTGAGTGAGTATTCTTTTTTCTTCCTTCCTTTTCTTTTCTACTATGATGGTATCTGTTGGAGGTCAAGGGAACGAAAAATAAGAAGACTACCGTTTGAAAATATAATAAGGCTTATTGCTCAACATTTTCGCTCACTGATTCAAGATTTTTCAATTGAATATATATCTAGAAGAAGAAGGAGAAGAAAGCGTCATGTCTGCTCTAAGACAAATATATTATACCTTGTTTTGAGCTATATCATACTTTAGAGGATTTCTGAATTTCTGATGAAATCCAGAGAAAAAAACATATCCTCGAAGGGTAAAGTAGATTTGTATAGAAAGTATTTTTCGTTTTACCATATATAAATGAAACTTATAATATATGAATTATTTTAAAACATCAATTTATTATCTATGTTACATCTTATAAATATCGATTCTGAAACCATATATTTAGATTGAATAAAAATAAAAACAGTATATTGATATCAGACATACAAGATTTTGTCAAAATACGCCCATGATGTTTATATTTAGTTTTATGATAGAATTAAGTTCGAAGCAAAAATAAATAGAGAAAATTATTTCTGTACGATAAATTATCTCGCATCATGGATCTTTTGATAGAAAATAGTATTGCAATGAGACGAAAAATATAAACAAAAATTCTAAAAATATAAACCGTACAATTTATACTACATTACCTGTTCAAATAACAAGATTTTATCTATTCTTTTCTGCATCATAAAAAAAGAATATTCAACAATAACAATTCAATACATATTATATTAATTTAAAATAATATATATATTTTGATCAATATTTCCTCCTATCTTGTCAAAATCCATATACATACAATAATAAATATTTTTTATTTCAAATCTAATTACTTTCTTATAAACATGATATGTTAAATTAAGTATCTTACAAACTGATCAATTGATTTATACACTGTCTCCTGAAGCAAAAAGAAAGATAGTTATCATAAAAACAAAACTGTTCTATTAAATATAAACGAACGAACGAGAGAAAAAGAAACGAAATAGACATCTGTTACTATTCGTGTGTACGTCAAAATACGATAACATCCTACTGAAGGTCATCACATGTAAGTTAATTATATGTATTTTTGAGATATATGAAAGCAAAATAACATTCAATATAAACCATATTCAACTAAACGACGAGACATTGACAACATGCAACCTTCAGCTAAGTATGATTATTGTACACTACCAAGGATCAGTGGAAAAACAAATTATCAATCAAAATGGATTGATTTTAATATAATGAAAACGAATAAATATGATTTAGAATATTTATTGGATCGTTCAGCTCGAAAATTACGGTATAAATCTAAACGTACAAAAGAATATGTACATAAATTGAATGATGTTATTATTAAATTAAATGGAATTACTTTTGATACATTAGTAAATATTCCTTCGCATATATTTTATTATTCTATTAGAAATATAATTCGAGATCTTTTACTTGATTGGCATTTTTCATCGGAATTAACGGAAGAAGAAACTTATCTTCTTCGAAATTCTATACTTTTTTTTGATCGTCTTGTTAATATTATTAATGATGTTACAAAATTAACATTATGGTTAATTGAACCATCATTAATTAATTCGTTAGCTGACTGTATGAGTGATATTGATCAACTTCTTTATGATAATAGACAAAAACAAAATTTTAAGCAATTAATACGTCTCTTCGATATATTTAATAATTATTATCAACGATTACCAGTAAAATTTCAAAATGAAGATGGACTTTATGCTTTATTTAAAGGAACCATGGATTGTCTTGTTTCATCAAAATATGAACGAGCTTTTAAAAAATTAAAACCTGATGCTGAATCAATGACAAATGAACAGAAATTTTTTCTTATTAAATGTCCTTCATTTTTTAGTTCTTATCGTGGTAAAAAAACAACAACATTTTTGTTTTTCTTTGAATTTAAATATTTTCTGAATTTTATTTAAAGGTTCACAATCAAGTAAAGTTATAGAACAATTATTAGATACAATGGTACCACGTTATGCATCATTAATTGATAAACATATTCATTCAATAAATGAATGGAAATCTCCTATGATACATGCAGTTCATCATCTTTTATTAACTGTCATTTATGCTCGAGGTTATTATGCACCATATGCTACCGGTCAACCATTACAATGGCTTATTGATCATATTGTTCATATTATTAATGAACCATCATTTATAACTAAAGTTAATGAAAAAGCAACAAATCCTGAAACATTATTAATTCATTCAGCACTTCGTACATTAACTGCATTTGTTCATGAACCTGATTTACTTGTTTATATCAAACAACTTAAAATAACCTCGATATTTCGTTCATTAATTTTATTACCAAATGAATCCATTGTATTACATGCATATGTTATGTTATCTTATACATTAGAAGAAAATGATATAAAAGCATCGGAGAAAGATTCAGGTCGTTTACTTTCAAAAATATTTGATTCATTAAGAAAAAAAACGAAATCACTTTCAGTTTTAAATAAAAATGAAGAAATTACTGAACGTAATATTTCTTTACTTACGGAAGCTTTACAAGGTAAAAGAATTGATTGATTGATAATTTAATATTTATTTATTTTTTCTTCTTATAATAGTTCTTGTTCAACATGATCAAATTAAAACTGAAATATTAAAACAAAATGCTTTACCTTTATTGGTTAATAGTTGTCAACATTTTAATGATCAATCGAAACGTTTAGTACTTGAATCACTTGGTTCAATATCATTTGATGTCGAAGCAGCAAGATTATTACGTGATAATAAACAATTTATTAAATCAATGGAAGATATGCAAAAAACAACTGATGACGGTATAAGAAAAGCAGCAGAAAAAATTGTTTGGAATCTTCAAGGTATTTACATATAAAAAAACAAATCAAGATAAAATATTTTTGTTTTATTTTTAATTTAGAAACTGAAAGAGAAAAAAAACTAGTAAAAGAAAAATTTGAATTCGATTATAAAAAAGAAACTGATTCTAAAATAGAAAAATATCAATATGATATTATGATATCATATTGTCATGCTGATAAAGAACTTGTTTGTAGAATATATGAATTTTTATCTGATAAAGGTTTTAAAATTTGGTTTGATCGAGATAATATATATGGACCAGGTAAATATTTTCCTTTTCATCGATAACATCCTTGTTTGTTTTTTGTTTTGTTAGCAATGCAATCGATGGCTACTGCAGTAGAAAATGCTGAATATGTGATTCTTTGTATGTCGGACTCATATAAACGTAGTGTTTATTGTCAAGCTGAAGCTGAATATGCATTTCGTTGTAAACGACGTTTATTGCCAATTATTGTACGACAAGGTTATCGAGCTGATGGATGGTTAGGTATATTACTTGGTACTCGTATTTATATAGATTTTGGTCGATTAGAATTTAAAACAGGATGTGAATTAATTGTAAAAGAAATTTCATTACAAAGAGAAAATCCATATAGTAATAATGAAATTACAAGTGGATATATGTCAAGTGATGAAAATACACATGATTTTGCATCGGATATAATGCCATTAACAAGAACATTAAGTGAAATGATGGAAAAATCACGTTTACCTGAGGAATATACAACACGTAATACATTAAAAGCAACTTATCGTTCAATATCAATTAATCGATGGACAAGAAAAGATGTACTTGACTTTTTATATGATACAAATCTTCATTATATGATGCCATTATGTGAATTTATGACAGGTTATGGATTAATTAAATTGTTTCGAATATGTCAAACAAAACCAAATCAATTCTATTGTCAATTAAATGAAGAATTAAATGCAAGATTTGGTGGTTTACGTTTACCATTAGGTGTTTTTACCGAATTTCTTAGTGAAATCGATCGATTAATTGATTCAGCATCTATAAAAGATATTGAACAAGATGCATTTGATTCTCGTGCTAGTTTAACATCGAGATCATCATCATTATCACCAACATCAACAATTATTAAACATTATATAAAAACATCAAGGTCAAGTTCATTATTAGAACCATTACAAAAACCAGATTATCCACCTCCTTCTATATCATCACCTGTACAAACTATATCACCAACTCTAACAATAATTCAATCACAACACATTCCTCATGTAACTGAACAAACAAATGATACAACAGAAGCTCTTACTCCATCACTTTTTTCATATGTTGAATCACTTCAAGCAACATTTTCTACTCGTTCGAAATAAATCGAACTCATAAGACATCAATCGCAATCTAGAACAAACAAAAACAATTTATATACTTATCATACGTAGACTGAAGTTTTGTGTAATATGTATTAAATATAAATAAAAGCATCTATTATTTTTATATCCGCATAGGAGCTTCGTGAATCATAGTGATAATAAATAGTATTTTTCTAAGTATAAAATTAATCGTTTTTTTTTTTCATTTGAATTTATTCAACTGTGACGCGATGGAGAACATCAATGTAATTGAACTTGAACAGTGTGAATTGAGAGAGTCATATTACGAGTATATTTATAACATTCAACTGTTTAATTAATCGAATAAATCATACATTAGTTTTCCTTGAAATTGAATAAGAAGAAAAAAAGGTGTATCATCAGATTGCGTTTTATAAAAATCATTTTTTGTTATTATTCATCGGCAAAAAAAACGTGTGTATTTATTTCATGAATAATCACAGAGGTTAATGATCATTATCAAATGACAGGAAAGTATTATTTTTATTCAGTTCTGTTACTGAGTTACCTTCATTAAAAATCTGTGTGTACATTAATAAGATTCACTTTTAAATATGTTTTTAGTTCTTTTTCTACAATGAAAAATTATCTATATAATTCATCTTTAAATCATTTAATCTATATAGTATGCTTTTCAATGATAATTAGATACATAGATATTCGACAGCGATTTTATTGTCTAATAAAGACTTGTTTGTACAAATCGATACAATACGAAAAAAATAGTAAGTTTATCTATTTAGAAACCACCATTGAGATTGAGACCTCCAGCGGCTGCTAGATTTGGATCAACAATTCCGACACCAGGTAAAAATGCACCAGTTGATGGACCAACAAATGTAGTTGATGGGCCAAAATGAACTGTGCCAGGATAAGTATTTGGATTTACCGAAGGTAAATTAGTACCCATTGTAATTACTTCGCTTGAAATTGGAATAACTTCACCAGGAATAACAACTCCACCGGGAACAGCAACGGGAGCTAAAAGTATCAGTAATATATATATGTATACATCTATAAATTTCTTTTTATCAAAAACAAATTCCTTACTTTGATTATAACCACCAGCAAATCCACCAAAAGCACTTCCAGCACCCATATTATAAGCCATTTTTTATAAATATATTATATTGAAGAAAATTGAATATGTAAATGTAAATGTATATGTATTCTCATACAATTCCTGAGTTTATATACTCCTCACTGCTTTGTCACGCATCAATACACAGCGTATTATAAAAATATATATATTTATATTTAACTACAAAAACACACGTGCAACAATACCAAAAATATACTTTTCAAGGACGTTTAGTAGTTTTAATGACGCAATTTACATCATTTACTCAATAAATATCATTAAAAAAAACAAAAATATGGTGAAAGAGTAGAAAATCAAATGAAAAAAGTACATCCTTATTATTCAATCATATATTTCTCATCATTAAATACTCTTTAAACTATACTAACTTCTAATACGTAATATTATATGTAAAATAATAAAAAGTGCAAATATATTATATCTTGAAATAATCTATTTATATTTCAGAAAAAAAAATAATTTTATATAAAATTATACTTTCTGGATTTAGTATACAAAAAAAAATAATCGATATTACTGTTGTGTTAATCTTCGTTTAATATCTTCCAATTCATTTTGTAAACTTAATGTCATTTTTCTCAATTCATTATTTGTACGTATACCGGATTCTTCAATAGCATCACGTAATTCATCAGTTTTTTTAATTAAACGTGTATTTTCTTCATCATTAAATAAACTATCATCACGTGTTGTATCATGATGATAGAAATAACCTGTTTCGGTATGTACTTGTTCAAATATACCCATTGTTGTTGATGATGATGATGATATTGATTGAGGAAAAGCAACTCCTTCACGTCGTGTTAATGGTGCTAATTGAGAAAAATTTGATGGATTAAGATTATGTGGTATATTTATTGGAAATGAACGTATTTCAAGTTTACGTAAATGATATTTTAATGGTATAAGATTGAATTTTTCCCATAAATTCATTATTTTAACATTTTTTGATAATTGTCTTATTATAGTACCAACTGTTTCACAAAATCCACCTAAACGTGCTTGAAAACCTAAAACAACTCCAATACGTGCTCGTAAATGTTCTCGTTTAGCATTTAAACGATATTCTTTTACATCGGCTACAGCTAGACCACCCTAAAATAAAAACAATAAAGATATAACAAACGTTAAAATTTCTTTTACCATTATATTCATCATAACAATAAACATAGTAAATACATAAGCACTATAAAGTATAAGTGCACCTTCAGCACCAGGCATTAATTCATTATTATTCGAAAAAAATGTACTATCCATATCATATTCACCAATAAACATAACTAATAATTTTGGTACAAAATTAAAAAATCGAAATTGTTCCATAATATCTTTACAAATCATATAAAAAGCTAAGATATAACCAATCCAAATCATAAAATAAACAGCAATAAATTTTAAAAATGTAACAAATACAGTTATAAATAAAAGACCATGTTTACCAAATTTTATTCCATTCATAACAACTAATAATAATGATGTCCAAACTGATAATAAACCAATACCACCTGCCATCCATTGAGCTGAACATCGAATACCTGTTTGACGTGTACATTCATTAACATCGACGGAATATATAATTGCACTAACCTATTTACAAAACAAAAGATATCATAGAAATTCGATACGTTAGTTTATAAATCATTAATAACAAAAAATATCAAGCGAAACTATAACCGTAAAATTGTCATATAAATACCAACGTATTCGAAGGTTATTCTCAATAAAAGGCGTATCAGTCTTTATTATTTAAGTAGAATAATATTTAATTTAAACAATTATTTTCAGTTGTTTCGAATAATACTTACATACATATGTAATTCAATAAGATTAATATAAAATCGTCGAAAATATTTTTCTCGTTGTGTTAATATTTGAAAGAGTTCTTTTAATAAAGCAAAACCAGATAAAATAAGTAAAATTAATCGTAAAGCTCGTAATGGTGAATTATCTGTTGCAGGTTTTATTGGATCATTTGTTAATGTTATACATAAATCATAACATGAATAATTAACCATTTTATAATAATTTGTTCCTTGATCGGATGGTGTGGGTGAACCTAATGCAATACCTGTATAAAGTGCAACATATGTTGATTGACAACAAAGTATAAGTAAATAAAGAAAATTTCCAAATAAATTAAATTTTAAATCAACACATAAACGAACTAAACGATGATCATAAACATCTTTACAATCAGCTTTTGCAATTAAAGCTAAAAAGAAATTCTAAGAATTATATATATTCTAAAAAGAATTTTTTTTTATAAATTACTTAATGGATGTTGTTGAAGCCAATTATCTGTTGAAAAATGTTTTGTTCGTCCAAATATACATCTTGTTTTCATCGGTCGAGCATATAAACAATCATCAACAATTGATAAATCAATTCCATGATTACTAACAAATTGTTCTAATATCAATGGTACTAATGGTACACATTCCGGTGTCGTTAACATACGTTGTATAGGTGTTTGATAGAATGATGAAGAATTTGTTTGAACAAATGGTTCATTATAATGTTTTAAAAATTGTTTATATTGATGACGAAAATTATATTGTTCAACTGGTATACGTACACTGATAAATAACCGTACAATATCTTTTTTCTTCAATAATATTGCATACTCTAACTATAAATAGGGAACAAAAAGAAAATTTTATTTAGCAATTTATTATTTCTATATACTATTCAGATTAATCTTAAAATTGACTTTATCATGTTTTGAAAAAAGAATGATTCTCCCATATAAAAATGAGTCATTGCTTGAAAAAAGAAAGAACGATCGAAAATATCTCATAGTTCTTATATAATTTTTTCTAGGTTTTGACACATTTCTATTTTGATATTCTAATAATATGTTGTTTACTAGTCATCGAAGAATAGGAGAAAAAATATTTCACTGATTTTAATTATCTCTTTACTATTCGATATACTTTTTAATATTAATTAATATTTCTTTTTCCCTATTTGATAGTCTATAAAATTCACCTTACCAAATTAAAATATCGACCATTAACATTTACTAATAAATGAATAATATAAGCAAAACGTTTTGGTTGTGTAACAAAAAAAGTTAAAATATCTAACTGTTCTTGATCAATAGCATTTTTCATTGATACAGCATCAATTAATTCTCGCATATCAATATTTGTTTCTAACCATGATGATAAAACAATATGTTTAACACATTTCAATTGACCTTTTTCTATAGCGATATCAAATGGAGTTTTACCAGACCGATTTCTTTCTCTTATTCGACGTAATGCCTATCATCCGATAAAACAAAAATCAAGACAAATATATATATATATATATATGTATTTTTTTATTTACCGTAACTCGATCACTAGTCGAATTAAGTCGTTTAGATAAAGCAATAGCTCGATGTAGAACAACATCATTACAGTGTTCACATGCATAATGAAATGCACTTGAATCATTATTATCACTAGCAATAATTGATCTCGGATCGGATTCCATTAATAATGTAGCTGTTGATGTTGAACCAGCTTCAATAGCTGTTAATAATGGTGTTTGTCCTTTTGCATTCATTAACATACTTGCTTGTGATGTTTCACTAATTAATAAACGCATGATTTCATCATGACCAAGACGAGCAGCTAGATGAAGAAGTGTTTGACCACGTACTTCTTTATATGCATCTGCTGCCATTAAAGCAGCTTGATTATCAATAATCGATACATATCCACCATTTTGTAATGAATTATGTCTTGGTGGAATTGCAATAGATCCTGGTGGTGGTGCTTGAATAACAAGAAGATCAGATCTACGTGTTGATGGACGAAAATAATTTTGATAATTTGTTGTTGCTACAAATGAATTTTGTCTTGAATGACGTTTACGAATAATCTGTGAACCAAAACGATAATTATCTCTTGCTGATGCATTATCATCAAAATCATAATCATCATCACTTAAATCAACTGGAATATCAATTGATGATGGGCCAGCTTGTAAACGTAATGCTCGATTCATTACCGATGGATTAAGTGATGGTGATCGAGAAAGTTTTCGATGTGTATTCGATGTCGCAGTTGAATATGTTGATCTTAATGATGGTGATTTATCCCCATTATCACTCGTATTTTGAGAATCAAATACGAATGTTTGAGGAACAATTAAACTCATTGTAATATTCGATGATTTTCCTTCCCAAAAAATCTATAGCAAAAAATGTGCACGTTTTATCATACAAATTATAACACGTAACGTCTTGATTGTGTTTTTTGTATTTCTATTGAGCATAGGTGAGAAGAAGAAGAAGAAGAATAAGAAAAAAAGAAGAACGCAAAAAGAAAAACGAGCAAACCTTGACGAATACACATCATACCATTAAATAGGTGCAACTGATAAAAACAAAAATATATAAACGATATAACGATTGATTCATCAAATCATGCATTTTTTTAGTATTAGTTTCGTTTTTTCTCTTTTCATTTAGTTACTAATATATGATGAAAATATTTAAGTATAAAATTATTAGATACTATCATTATCATAATCGTATAAAATAAAAGAAATATATAAAACCTTTATTTATTGATTTAATGGTCAATTGTGTTTTTTTTTTAATTTTAAAAACAAAAATAATTGTATTCAAGAAAAAAAATATAATTTATCATTTCGATTCGGTTCATTAGTTTTTTTTTCAAATGTTGACACCTGTTGTTTTATGCTTTGATACACTCCTTTCTTTCTTTCTTTTTCTATCGAAAATTGACGAGTTTGTCTTTGATTTTTTTTAAAACTAAATACCATTTAGATAATAAATCATGAAATTCATTTCGAAATGATTTTGACATAATTATATAAATCCAAAATGAGAGAGAACTATTTAAATAAAGTAAAAACGATCGTGTGAAATAGATAAGAAATATCTCCCATTGTTCATATTCATAATCTGATGATCCTAACTGATCAACTGTTGTGTAAAATACAGATAATGTATATGGAAATGTCAATAATACATAAATCATTATTTCAACTAATAACATTCGTATATAATCTCGATCACGTTTTCGTATGAGATTCATTTTTGATGTTACAGCTAATGGTTGAACACGACTACGAATTTTTTTCAAATTTTTTATAATTAAAAAACTACAAATAATCATTACCAATGGAGGAAGTATACCAGCAAATATTAAAATATAAATTGAATAGAGAAGAGCATAAGAATCAATAAACATGCCACATGTATTAGCTTCAATAGATAATAAAATGGGAATAAATATACATACTAAAAGCCAAAAAATAATAACAATTATAATACATCGATTAGTGATTTGATATTGATTAAAATTTTGAAAACGATGTTGAACATGTGATGAAATATAACGATTAAAACAACTAAGTATCATAAATGATCGCATCATTTGATAAGGTGTATGACGTAAATAAAATTGTAATTTACACATAATTAAAGAAGTTGTAACAGGATCAAGATGATTAAGTGCATAGATAAATGGTATTGTACCAAAATTAAGACAAAAAAAATTACATATTGTCATTGATAGAATATATAATGAACCGGGATTTCGACGATGTATCGAACGAGAAAAAATATTTAAATTAAAAAATAAACCGATATTGCCAAAAGCAAAATATGTTGTCATTCCATAACGTGTTAATACATCTTGAGTAAAACTTAGAGAAGCTCCGATAGCATCCATAATTATTTCAAGAATGAAAATATAACATTGAATTTAATATATATATTCACTAGATAAACATCCGATAATCAAGATATAGATTCTAATTAGATAGAAAAATATTATATTTTTGTTTGTTCAACATACACTAATGAAGTCAATTGTATCTTAACACCTGGAAATTATCTACGTAAAAAAACATGTGTTATTTTTTTCAAAATAAGTGAAGCGTACTAAATACATAAATATATAATATAGAGATTTTCTCAGTGGAAAGTTAAGAAAGTTCAAAGTAGATTGAATATGAAGGAACTATGGCACGTGAAACAAAATAAACAATAAGAATAATTATCGATCTATTCGTATGTGTTGATTTACAAGTAACATAATTATATTTATCTATGATTATACAATTTTAATCACTCATGAACGGGATTTTTATGCTATTATATAAACACAAAAACGAGAGATTATCTTCCAAAAAGAGTAAAAAAAATTAATTTTGATTGATAGTATTTTCGTCATATTAAAATCTCTTTTTATGTTATACATGATAAATACATTGATCTTTTGTTTTTTAGACTGTTACTAAAATGCTTGTATGAATTTATTTCAAAGTATCGAATATTCATACTTCAAAAGAAATCATCCTAATCTGGTGAATAATATTATAAATACTACTGGCATATTAAATGTATTAGAGTTGTAAACATTAATTAATAATATTCAAAAATATTATAAATAATAAATTTGTCATTGTATTTAGAGAAGTGTGGTTTTGAATTTGATTTACATGATTCGTCTTGATGCATACTAAACCAACGAATATTTAAGGTACAGGCGATGCAAAATTCGATTGAAATTTATTTTTGAGGATGAGTGTATGATGAACACAATATTAGAAATTACACTTGTACGCACACCCATCTCTCATCCATTATCCTGCCAAACTTTATGCTTTTTTTATTAGATTGGTCTGAACATTCGTACGCACAAGAGTGCATATTCCATTTATTTGTATTAAAGGACTTTTCTTCAGATAAGATGTTTTTGACAATTTTGATGTACTTGTCTAATATTGAAAAGAATCAAAAAATATCTATTAAACATATGACAGTTCATTCTCATCTCATTAGTATCTTATCAAAAACTGAAGAAAGTGTAATTTTTGTTAAATATCTCAAATATTCAGTATTACCATGTCTTCGTCCACCGATATACTCGTTACAATGCAACTAGTACAAAAGTATTTATATCAATTTGTTAGTCCGGTATTAATGTTTATCGGTACTATTGGTTGTATAATAAATTTAATTATATTTAGTCAAAGGCATCTAAGAAAAAATCCATGTTCAATCTATTTTATCGCATACAATCTTGCTAATTTTGTGTTCATTTATTCGTCATTATTACCTACAATACTGAGTGTAGGATATAACATTGATTATAGTACACGCAATATAGTTTTATGCCGTGTGCGTCTTTACATTACCATTTTATCTAATTTTTTAAGTCCACTTTATTTAGTTTTGGCTTCTGCTGATCGAGTTTTGATAACTTCATCAAATGCTCTTACACGACGACGAAGTACACTTCGTTTTGCTTATATATGTATTGCTTGTGGAACATTATTTTGGACATTGTTGCATGCTCCTGTATTAGTTTTAACAAATATTATACAAGTTGGTCCTAATACATTGATTTGTTATTTCCAATCAAGTGTTTACATTTCTTTTCTAAGTTTCTGTTCACTTTTCAAAGCAACAATTGGACTTTTATTAATGGCAATATTTGGATTATGGTCTATCAAGAATATTCGAAGTCTTCAAAAAGTCCGACCTGCTGCTAGTTTATCTGCAACTGTAACGAAAGTAGACACTGCTCCTCATTCGAATTCATCAAAAGATCGTCAACTTTGTTTTATATTACTTATAGATATCATTATCTATGCATTATTCAGTTTCACATATGCAATCAATCTTATCTATCAACAAATCACACAAAATTACGTTAAAAATACGGAGCGAACACAAATAGAAAGCTTTATTACTAATATATGTCAATTTAGTGGTACTATTCCATTTTGTATTAGTTGTTATGCAAATTTAATCATATCAAAAACTTTTCGAAATGAAATCAAGAAAATACTTTCATGTCAAAAGATTTTTCGCATCCACTGAATTTGAATTATTTATATCTAACTAACATTCGCATATT